GGCGGTTCGGGCAGTTTGAAAGTAAAATCACAAACCAAACCAATTATATCAGTTTTAAATTTTTATAATCCAAACCAACCCAATTTTATATTGGTTTGGTTTGATTTTTAATCAGATTGGATCAGTTTAGGTCGGATCAATCGGATTGGATCGGATATGAACACCCCTAGTTAAAAGAGAAGTCAGACAACTCTTTTAACTCTTTTTCCCTTACTCTTAATTAAGAGAAAAGTACATGTTCAAAAAAATTAAGAGAAAAGTAATAATTAAAATATTTTAATGTTAAAAATATTAATTTATTTTTATAAAATTATTTAAATATTTTTAATAAATTTTTCATGTTAAATGGTGTTTAAATCTTTTTATTACTTTCTTTACTTCCCATAATTAATGTCTTACGAGAGAGTATTAAAATTAAGAAAAGTAATAAATCACTATTAATTTAAAGTATTAATTTGTCATTTTATAATTTATTTTTTACCTTTTATTTTAATGAAAGAGATAATTCATGTATGATGGTAAAATAAGATAAAATGAATTAATATCATATTGAATACTGAAAGGGACAGATAAAATGAAACCAAAAAAAAAAATTCTTCTAAAACATCTGATAAAGTGGGACAGAGGGAGCATTACTTTCTTGTAGATCTTACTTTGCGCTATATGCTCGCAATTAAATAGTCAGTCCAAACAACTTCAATAAAAAAAGAGGGCCAATTCCCATTTCTTCCGGGTCAATAACATAATTCCTCATTTAATTTTCATTTCCTCCGGATTAATTATTCATTATCTTAATTCTTTGATTAATTAATTTAACCGTAGCTCCTCTTGTAGTATAACATTGTTCTGTGCTCTATGTCTTTGATGTGTTTTTTCGGATATTAATAGTGAATTTCATTGATATTGCAGTTATCAGGAGGTAATCAACAATGACGGTCACATCCAAAATCTCCATTAATGACGGGAACCTTGTTGTTCATGGGAAGACCATCCTGACTGGAGTTCCAGATAACATTGTCCTGACTCCAGGTTCAGGTGTGGGGCTTGTTTCTGGTGCTTTCATTGGTGCCACTGCTTCAGATAGCAAGAGCCTTCATGTCTTCCCTGTGGGTGTGTTACATTAAGTACTAACCCCCTTTACCCTTCTTGTATGTTTTCTTCTGTTTCTCGAGGTCCAGAGGAATAGCATGATATAAGATCGTTATTGAACTTGTATGGTTTTGCTTTTATGCAGGGGTCTTCGATTCTGTGTTTGTTCCGGTTCAAGTTATGGTGGATGACACTGAGAATGGGAACATGTGGAAGTGATGTTCCTTTGGAGACACAATTCATGCTTGTGGAGAGCAAGGATGATGCTGAAGGAGGTGATCAAGATAATGCCCCAACCATCTACACTGTCTTCCTTCCTCTCCTTGAAGGCCAGTTCCGTGCTGTCCTGCAAGGCAATGAAAGGAATGAGTTAGAGATATGCCTCGAGAGTGGTGAGTAGTTTATGGCAATCAAAAAGCATATGCTCCTATTAGCTAGGGCTAGATCTTCAGTTAATTCAGTCCCATCCAGTTGGCAATTATCAAAGAAAGAAGATTAACCATAGGAGTAGATGGGGTGGAGCTGTTATTTATGCGGACAATTCAGGCAGCTGGTACCATGAATGACAACCATTCAAATGAATAAAAATAATGTAGTTTATAGCATGTCAGAAGAAATTAGATAGAAAGGATCGAGTTCAATAGATTCGAAACAACATTTTTTGTGGTTTTGCAGGAGATAATGTTGTTGAAACAAACCAAGGGCTATACCTTGTTTACATGCATGCTGGGACCAATCCTTTTGAAGTTATCAATCAGGCTGTAAAGTAAGTTCATAACTTTAATCTTTTCAAATATCCTTTTCTTTGTTTTCGTTGTAATTGAAATCTCTGAAAAAAGTTGTAATCTATACTATTTGCTGCAAGTCAGATAACAATTGCTTTTCAACAATATGATCTTCTTTTCCTGGAAAACTCTTTGTTTCTCATGGTTTGTAATGACTTTAATGAGTGCCTTTGGTGAATCAGGGCATTAGAGAAACACTTGCAAACCCTTCTTCATAGAGAGAAGAAGAAGGTAAGGATTAGTGCATTCTTCTGAACTGCTAGCATATACAGCAAGCATGTTGAAAAGGTTCCATCTAACATTGTTATGTTGATTGTGTATAGTTTCCTTCTTTTCTTGATTGGTTTGGCTGGTGCACTTAGGATGCTTTTTACACTGATGTCATTGTTGAAGGGGTTGAAGAAGGACTTAAAAGGTAATTTAGAACTTATCTGACCAAGTTAGCTAGTCCTAAGTTTTGTAATGTAATTAACTTCAGTAATTGTCATGAGAGAATTGTAATTGAATTATTTCTCCCTATTATTGCAGTCTATCAAAGGAAGGAACTCCTCCACAATTTCTCCTAATTGATGATGGTTGGCAGCAGATTGAGAAAAAGCCAAAAGAAAGTGACTGTGTTGTACAAGAAGGAGCTCAGTATGATCTCTCTCTTTCTCTCTGATATGGATTTGAAATGTTTGGCATGTCATTAGCTTGACCTAGATAACAATACCTTCTCCATATTTATGGTAATCCTAATTTGGTGTTAGAAGTTCAGTTTGGGACCACTATGAAGTGCCATTCATAATTGGCTAAACTGTCATAAGATTTTTGCACTTCTATGATAAATAATGCTTTGCTTTAACTTCTTAGGCTTTGCTTTAACTTCTTAGCAACAAGACTTTCTCTTGGTGATGGATCCGGTTATTTGGAAAATTGAGGTTTAGCAATAGTACTAGCATAGCCTTCACAAACAATGTTTAGAATAAAAAATTGGAAAGTGAGAGGTGTTTGTGCTTTGTTAATACACTTGAGGCTTGTGGATCACTAGGGACCAAGCTACCTCTATCACCTAAACTCGAGGGAAGGATTAAATTTCTTAACATTAAGTTTTTAATGAATGATATGATTTAGTGCACTTTGGCAGTCAGTGTGGGATTGAACAATTGGACTTAATTAATGGGAGCTAAAGCGGATTTGCTGGTCACTACTTATGGCCAGACCTCTGATTGTGATTTCACCCTATGTTCTCACCCAGAATAGTTTGAACTGTTGTATAACTGTTCTTCGCAAGCACTATTTCTTTTCTTTTCTTTTCTTTTTTTCTTTTTTTCTTTTTTGTATGTTGTTGCAAAAGCAGGGTATTGATTTGCTGGCAAATTATGTCTTGTACTTGTAGGTTTGCTAGTAGGTTGACGGGAATCAAAGAGAATGAAAAGTTTCAAAAGAATAGCCAGAACAATGAACAAGTTCCAAGCTTAAAACTTATTGTAGATGAAGCCAAGTAGCATCACAATGTGAAGTAAGTACTTGAAGTTTTTCTTATTACTGCACATGACGCATTTATCATTTATGAGTAGAAAAGGAAACATTTTATGTGCCCTTCACATTGCAAATTAAAATTTTTCCCCTTTAAAACAGGTTTGTTTATGTCTGGCATGCATTGGCTGGTTACTGGGGTGGAGTCAAACTTGCAACAATTGGTATAGAGCACTATGATACAGCATTAGCATATCCTATCCAGTCCCTAGGAATTTTAGGCAACTAGCCAGACATAGTCATGGACAACCTTGCCGTTCATGGTCTTGGTTTGGTGCATCCAAAGAAGGTTTTGAACTTCTACAATGAGCTCCATGCTTATCTGGCTTCATGTGGAGTTGATGGAGTGGAGGTTGATGTGCAAAACATCATTGAGACCCTGGGTGCTGGCCATGGCGGCAGAGTCTCTCTCACACGGAGTTATATTCAAGCCCTTGAAGCTTCGATTTCCCGGAACTTCCCTGACAATGGATGCATAGCTTGCATGTGCCATAATATTGATGGAATCTATAGTGCCAAGCAGACTGCTGTGGTTAGAGCTTCAGATGACTTCTATCCTCGTGATCCCGCTTCACACACCATCCACATTTCCTCAGTGGCTATTTTCCTTGGAGAGTTTATGCGACCTGATTGGGACATGTTCCATGTAAGTAAAAACAGAACTATTTATATTTTGTTAGTCCATTAAACCAGTTGCTGATTTCTTATGCAAAACACAACAAGCATTTTCATTAGGTAGCTGATGTTCAAAGACTAACTATGACAATTTTGATAGACTTTCTTAATTTGCTTGAGATTTGAACTCAAAATTGGCTAGTAGGTAAGTTAGTATGTTATATTAATGAAGGTACCTATGATTTGCAGAGCTTACACCAGCTACTGAATATCATGCTGCTGCTCGTGCAGTTGGAGGATGTCCAATTTATGTCAGGTACTGTTATGCTATAGTTTAATTGTATTAATGTCTTAACTAATTTAAGGATTCATATAATTAAAATTGTCTATTTTTTTCCTGTTCTGTTGTAGTGATAAGCTTGGCAACCACAACTTTGAGCTCTTAAAGAAGCTGGTTCTTCTTGATGGATCAGTACTCCGTGCCCAACTTCCTGGGAGGCCCACTCGTGACTGCCTCTTTGTTGATCCCACCAGAGATGGGGTCAAGTGTGTGCCATTTTTTCTTGCTACCTTTTAACACCTTTTTGTTTAGATTTGTGTCAGCTTTCCCAACAGAGTTGTATATTGCAGCTTACTCAGACTGTGAACAAATGCTCTGGTGTGGTTGGTGTCTTCAACTGTCAAGGTGCTAGTTGGTGCAAAGTCACTAAGAAAACTTGCATTCACGATGCGTCTCCTGGTACCCTTACTAGTTCTATCCGTGCTACTGATGTTGACCTAATTGCTCAGATTGCTGGTTTAGATTGGAAAGGAGAGACCATAGTTTATGCTCATAGAAGTGGTAATTACTTTGCATTCCAGCTCTAGCTGTGCAATTTTCAACTTAAGACAATACTTGAAAAAACATAGAATCATATATTAGTAAATGCTAAAGAAGTTTCTTCTTGATTCAGGGGAAGTGATACGATTACCAAAAGATGCTTCAGTGCCTGTTACGCTTAAAGTTCTTGAGTATGAACTGTTCCACTTCTGTCCACTCAAGGTCAGACTCTTCCAGTTCTGTGTTGAAGATGCTTTGTTAATCTTACATTGAAGTGCTAACTAAATGGCCTTAGCTATGATGCAGGAAATCACCTCAACATTTCATTTGCACCAATTGGTCTGCTTGACATGTTGAACTCCAGCTGTGCTGTGGAGCAGGTGGAAGTGCACTTGGCATCAGACAAGAAACCTGAGCATTTTGATGGTGAAGTCTCCTCTGAGCTAACAACCACCCTCAGTGACAACAGGTCTCCAACCGCAACAATTGCCCTCAAGGTCAGGGGTTGCAGAAGGTTTGGTGCATACTCTTCTCAACGTCCACTGAAGTGTAGAGTTGGCAATGTTGAGACATATTTCAACTATGACTTTGCCACTGGATTGCTCACCCTGACTCTGCCAGTGCCACAAGAGGATATGTATAGATGGCCGGTGGAGATACAAGTTTGAAGTAGCTAGTTCCATGACTATCCGTATTAGAGCATCATAATTTCAGTGAGAGTGGGGAAGGAGAGTAGGATGTGTGTAGGGGTGTTTGTGAGTACTGGGGTGGGATTGCGCCTTCATCTGAAGGCACTATGTTGTTGTTCATTTATCTCCAATAAGGCTGTCTAGTTTTGTCTTCAATAGTAGTGTTTGTGTAGTGTTTACAATTGGCGCACAATAATTAATGGGTATGATGAACTAATGGCCTTAGCTCTAAGAAACTCTGTAAAAAGTCTAGCTTTTAGAATTAATATGTCTTTGGTGATTCTAATAGTAATTTTACACTAGAACAATTCTCACCGTTAGTATTTTGCTAAAGGTTAAATGTCCATTTTACTTAACTTTTTCTTGTACTTTTTATTGTGCTTCAATTGGCATCCTCCTTATTAGCTTAAAAGCTCAAGATGCAATTTTAATT